TCGCAGTGCCAGTTCGGATTCACGGATTCACTTTCTTAGAACGGGATTTTATTCTGCGTTCGCGTATTAGGACAGCGCATATTTATGTATTCGTGGCTTTGTAAGATTGGAAATGGACTTTTTTCTGTTTTTTCAATTTTGTGCACATTTATCATTATCATTATTGTTATTCTTATCAGTATTGTTAAAAATCATCATCATCATTATTATTATTATTATTATTATTATTATTATTATTATCGTTATCATTAATGTTATCATCATCATCGTCATCATCATCATCACCATCATCATCATCATCATTGTTATCATTATTATTATCATTATCCTTATTAATGTCATTATCATTATTATTGTTATTATCATTATTATTATCATTACCATTATTATCATTATCATTATTATTATCATTTAGAATCTAAGCTTTGTTTCTTTGTTGATACTTATAACAAATCAATAGTTGTGTTCTCATAACTTTTTTAAAGCAATTGAAAAATCTTTAGCAATAGTTAATATCAAGCTGCAAAGCCCAGTAAAATCATTATTGCTTAACAAAAAAGAGTAATTTATTATAAATTACTCACGGGAAGATATCGGTTAAAACTGCAAATATAATGACTATTGCATGATACGGATTATTCATAACTTGGCAATAGTAGCAGATAGTATATAAATGTTAGGAATACGGTAAAAAAATATTATTGAAATAACAAAGTGTTTCCCATTCAGCGTACTTTCGACAGACTTCCATTAATTCTTAAGTTTCTTAGATTTATTAGAGTAGATGTACCCACGAAGCAAAGGCCTTTTGTGTCACCTTTGATCTTGCTTTTGGATATGCATTCGAGGACTTTCCAGTTGTTATCGAAAAAAACAGATACTAGAATTCATAATAAATATTTCTTATGACAAGGTTTGAGTGAATACAACCACCGGGAAATAAGGATTTTCACTAGAAAGGTTAACGCAGTTCACGGTCCTCCAAGTAATATCGATGGTTCTACATTTCCATGTTAACTGCATAAAGGAAAGTTTCAGTGCTACTGCTGCCTTAAATTCTTTTACCAACTTTTGCCCTATAAATCAGCTGTTATTGTCGAAGTGGATCAATGTCTTAATCCTTATCGCATTTATTTTTCATCAGGGATAACCCGCTTTCTCCTGAAGACAATTAGATTTCGCATTTTGGTGTAGTAATGTCCCTAACCTAATCAAGAAAAACTGACGTACTGGAATAGGAATAGACAATACATGGCACAATAAAATGTAAACATTAACTTTCAAGATTAAATACTTTAAGCCAGTGGTTCTTAACCTTTTTGATACTTTGCCTCCTCTAAGACTTTGTCCTTCCCTCCACGCCCCCCTTGCATCTGTGAATAATATTTCCTCCGATGTTTTAGGGATTGTGAATATGTTCTTAGTCTTTTTTGTGGAATATGAATTACTCTCATTATTAATCTTCTCATTTTTGGACCGTACTTTCATTAAGAATAACAAATATAATTAGAGAAAGCCCTGTTTTTTCCCCAGCGTTGCCTTGATTCCGCCGCAGAACCTCGTATACATGTTGCGATTTTCTTTCCCATGTTGGTTCTCAAGCACTGACTACGTTAGCCCAAGAGCTCATGCTCTCTCTAAGGCATAAACCGCAAACCTTGCTGAGACCAAGGCGGGAGTCTCTGCTTTCCTTTGCCCTTGGATGCACTGCCCCCGCGTGATTGCACACAGAGAAAAACAGCATGATTTGTAATTATAGTTGACATATTATTTCTCCAGCGATAAAATTTCCCTTAATACATGTGTATGATTTCGAAAATTATTTTGGAAAAAATATTGTAACTACTGTATCCTCATTAAATGATACATACATAGCAGATCACTTTTTCCATTGTGTTGCAAAACTTAAATATGATAGATCATGACTGTTACAAATATTATTAACAGTATAAAGATGCAGTATGAAAAGATGTTCTATAGTGTCGCGTATCATATCATGAATGTTCTATAAATTCTTAATAAAACATTAAAGAATCTTTAAAGTTTTACATACCAAAAATCATAAAATGAGCCAGTCTACTCACTTGCTTTATAGCATATATATATGAAATATTAGCACACATACGATACATACATATACACATATGCAAGAAGGATCATATGAAAAGAAATTGCACTGTGAAACAAATACCATCTTATTACCTCCGCTCAGGTAGTGTTGGTAGGTTTGTAGGTCAGATGGTTTGTAGGATAATTCAAAAAAGTTATGAACAGATTTTTATTAAATTCTTATGTGTGTCCTAGCCCAACTTAGTTATGGATCCAGATTTTTTTGAAAGGATTCATTAGCATTGCGAGATAGGGAAACATGGATGTCACCAGAGTACTTGAGAGAGAGGTGACTTTAATGTATTTATTCAAGTGTGAATATTTTTATTGCATCAGTGACCCTATTACCTTAGTGGAGGTATGTGCTCTCTGAGTGCTCTCTGACACTAGCATTAAAGTCTTCCCAAGAACATTCAATTAATAAGCCAATCACGTCATACAATGGAGAAGGTCAGAAAGATAATTTCCATTATTTCATCTGGGAACAAAATCATTCCCATACATAGTTCGTTAAGATGTATCAGCGATCACAGGCATTATTGCAAAGTAGAGTTTTAGACACAGGATGCTGAACAAACTTTTTTCTCTCTTTTACGAAGAGCTATTAATAAAGCCTTTTTTCCGGTGCCAAGAAACTGTCTCAATACACTATAAAGTGTCGTTTTTATCATTTGCAACACTACTCAGGGCCGATCGCGACAGCAACACTGCCGATGCTTCTACGCTGCTGCCACAGGTGCGGCTCCACCCCCATTCCTAGGAATTGTACTCGAGTTGACGAATCTGAATTTGTTTTTAAAGTGTTTCAATTAACAAATCACTGGTTTACTGATGTAACATTAGGAAATAACAATAAATACAAGTTGTTAGTTATCATCTTTTAATTACAAATCATACGACGGAAAACTATAGTAATCAGTTGAAAATGCGCGGGCCCTAAGCGCCTCCCATCAAACTGTAGTGGACGTGAGGTACCCCCGCTAAGCAGGAGTCCAGACTAGGCGAGTCCCCCCTTTTCTAGCCAGCACCAGCACCATCTGTGGGGATCGGCGGTAGCCAGCTGCAGTTTTGCGTCCCTGGAGCCTTTTAATTTTCGTATTTTTATGTTTTATTTATTTTAGCTTTTTCTCACGGCCTCTAGATTTATTTTAATTTCTTTTAATTATGTAAAGTAAACTTCTTTTATTTTCATTCATTTTTATTATTTACACATTTTATAAGAGCCTATATAAAGAGCCTGTTTTATGCTAGACTCTCTCTTGGGTTGTTGGCTCGTCAGTGCTGCTCACGGAGCGCCCGGCCTCACTGGACGCCTCCTGTTTCGTTTCTTCGGTTTTTTTCCTACAAGAGAGAAAGAGAAGTATATTCATGTTTTGTCAGAGGCCAGTTAGGATGTGTTATATGCATTGTAACTTTTGTGAATATACAGACTGAGAGGATCTCAGGTTTTCCTTTTTATGCTTTGGTTTCGTTTTATCCTTGGTTTGTTTATTTTACTTTTTATTTGGTTTTAAAAGGAGAATGGACACAGTTGATATTAATGAAATGAAATTGTAAAAGATAGAAAAAGGAAATGACTTCACTGATAAATAACAGCGGAGATTGGGGAAAGTTCATAATGATTTAGTAAGTTTTACTAACGGGGGTTAAGGGCTTCAGGGTTGTGACGAGCGGGTCATGCTGCAGTACACGCCAGCTACCACCCTTTGAAAGCAGCTCCCCAGTTCGCAAGTTGCACTCTGCAAGACCCGCGTTGTAGTTTTGAAAGTGTCTCAAAGGGGTAAACACTACACTTCCTAGCCGATCGCCGTGCTTCCCAAACCTAAGCCGTGCTTCCTAGCCGATCGCCTTGCTTCCCTAACCTAAGCCGTGCCTTCCTTACCTAAGCCGTGCTTCCTAGCCGATCGTCGTGCTTCCCTAACCTAAGCCCTAGCCGATCGTCGTGCTTCCCTAACCTAAGCCGTGCTTCCTAGCCGATCGCCGTGCTTCCCTAACCTAAGCGTGCTTCCTAGCCGATCGCCGTGCTTCCCTAACCTAAGCCGTGCTTCCTAGCCGATCGCCGTGCTTCCTAACCTCGTGCTTCCTAGCCGATCGCCGTGCTTCCCTAACCTAAGCCGTGCTTCCTAGCCGATCGCCGTGCTTCCTAACCTAAGCCGTGCTTCCTAGCCGATCGCCGTGCTTCCCTAACCTAAGCGTGCTTCCTAGCCGATCGCCGTGCTTCCCTAACCTAAGCCGTGCTTGGTTCGCCGTGCTTCCTAGCCCGCGTGCTTCCCTAACGCCGTGCTTCCCTAACCTAAGCCGTGCTTCCTAGCCGATCGCCGTGCTTCCCCCCCGTGCTTCCTAGCCGATCGCCGTGCTTTCCTAACCTAAGCCGTGCTTCCTAGCCGATCGCCGTGCTTCCCTAACCTAAGCCGTGCTTCTAGCCGATCGCCGTGCTCCCTAAGCCGTACTTCTAGCCGATCGTCGTGCTTCCCTAACCTAAGCCGTGCTTCCTAGCCGTCGCCGTGCTCCCTAACCTAAGCCGTGCTTCCTAGCCGATCGCCGTGCTCCTAACCTAACGTGCTTCCTAGCCGATCGCCGTGCTTCCCTAACTAAGCCGTGCTTCCTAGCCGATCGCCGTGCTTCCCTAACCTAAGCCGTGCTTCCTAGCTGATCGTCGTGCTTCCTTAACCTTAGCCGTGAAATCCGTGCCCGATCGCCGTGCTTAACCTAAGGTGCTTCCTAGCCGATCGCCGTGCTTCCTAACCTAAGCCGTGCTTCCAAGCGATTGCTTCCTAGCCGATCCGTGCTCCCTAACCTAAGCCGTGCTTCCTAGCCCGTGCTTCCCTAACCTAAGCCGTGCTTCCTAGCCGATCGCCGTGCTTCCTAGCCGATCGCGTGCTCCCTAACCT